ACTGGCCCAGAGACTCTTCTACTCTGCTCGACTTGACTAGCCAGCCAGCCAGGCAGCATAAAAATAATAATTTTTACAGCACAACAAACAAAAAGAACATCAAAAAAAATTATGGTTGTGTAGACTGGATTCTGAAAGCAGAAGTCCTAACACACTTTAGCAACTGGCAAACATGATTCCTATGCTGCTAGACTACACAATTTTGTTCAAAACTTAAGGAAATTTATATATTTTACCAACAAAAAATTTCTTATTCTGCTCAATATTATTCAGCATTTATATTTATTTAATTTAAAAATGTTGAATTGTTAGAGCCGATCTTACCATATTCACAAGAAACAAGTTTTATTTTATGAAAGGACCTAAATCTGATTTCAGTACCCACCAAGCGGAAAATTTGCCTTTCCACAACAAATATATGGTTTTTCCGATCAAGATATAAACAAATAAAACAAAATACTGATATAGGTAAGCAAATGAAAATAATGTTAATAAATATTATTATTGTAAAAGAAATCCATATTGTATTTATCTAAGATTTTATTTATTTTCAAAAGAAAATAATTGTACAAGAAGTATTAATAGTTGTTAAGTCTAAAAAATTCCTCAATAAATTTGTATTGGTTAACAGCAAGTTGTTTTAAATACATACATTTTATTTATGTCTCATATTCTAAAGTTACGTATATAATAACTTTTTGAATTAAAAAATTAACTGAAGTTTTTTGGTTCTGAGCAGCGTAAATATTTAACTAATATTAGAAATACCCTCGGCAAGGGTATAAATAGATTGCCACGAAACGGAAGACAGAGCAATAATAATTTCGCGTACGGACACTGCCAAGTGGAAGCGCCAAGCTCCAGGAAGCGTCAGTCGCCGTTGAAGCCGCCCCCGCATCTGCTGTTTGCCATCCACCATTGCAGGAAATCACTGGCAACAAGTGGCCACGACTCTCGCGGAGATTCAGCTCCTGCGGCCATTTCACTTTGCTTTTCATTTTATTGCTAATTTTTTTTCGCTCTCGCAGCGAGTTTTTGCAAATTATAATGACAGCCCCCCGGCCCAGATACGGAATACAACAGTCTAGTAGTCGGTTAGTGTCGGTTGGGCAGCGGGGCTGGTCAATGAAGGCGAATAGACATTTAATGAAACGAAACGACAACAAATTGTTTAAACATTATTTGCGCTTTCCCTTTGCTGTTTTGCCTTTCCTTTCGTTTTAGCCCCATCTCTCTCCCCCTCTCTCGGTCCGTACATTCTTTTTTATATACGTTATTGTTAATAAACAGACATTACAAAGCAGATAATGAACGACAAGGAGTAGTAGCACCAGGCACTTGGCAGAATGGAAATTGAAATTGCGGGCGCTTTGACAGGAAACTGGAAAATCATTCATACGGCAATTTGTCAAAGAGTTGCAAGATAGAATAGCGAAAAGATACCAAAGAGCAAAAATTGTTTAAAAAATTACTTGGTAAATAAATATTTTTATTTTGAAAGTCTGTGGAAGCTCTGTTTCATGGAATATTATACAGTTTTTTACCTAATATACAGTTTTTACCTTTTATACAGGACTTACCTATTATTCAGTTTTTTACCTATTAAAGAAAACTATTTTAAAAATTAAAAAGCTTATTCCATCACCGATTGTTAAACTATTAATAAGTTTTATTTTCAGTTTTATAAAATAAATATTATTTTATATTTCTTCGATGAAAACAATTGCATTTCTTGAACGGTAAAGAATTTTAGTTTTTCATTATTACTTTCTTTAAAATTCTATGAACAAATCTTATATTTATCAAAATCAAACCCTTTCCAGAAATAAATTTGGAATTTGTGTCTGTTTATTTTATGTCCTTAGTCAATAGTACATAGTTATTAACTATTAACTAGAATTATTAAAAGAATTATATGTAGAATTAAGACTAAACTGTAACTGCTAACAAAATTTTTATAATAATTTATAACTAGATTTTTAAAGACACTTAATTAAATTGCTTGAAATATATATATTTTTTTGCTTCTTGTTTTTGTGTTTACCTACGGGGGTGTCTAGCAAAATAGATAGTTTTATTTGGAATAAAACAGGACCTTTGATTGTTTGAATGCTTTTAAAAGGTTAGTTTGACAAATGAACGGATCCTGGTGCAGAATAAATTATTTGTTCTTTGGAAGACGCTAGACTGTAACATCATTTTATTGACTCTTTTATTTCTGAGGATAAAGGATAAGTACTTTTCAGCTTGAAAAATCAAATTCCTTTTAATCCCTTTTATTGGCTCTTATTATAGTTCTTATATCTTATTGAATCCCAATCAATTTCGAACTACTTAAAAGTTTTGCAACATTTCAGATCCAATTTTTTCGTTCTCTCGGACGGATATTTTAATCGTGTCGCCAGTTCGTTCGACTGTGAATGATTTCACTTAACGCTCTGGGGATAGAACAACAATGTTATCGCTTAATACTTATATTTTCCTGTCATTTAATTTCTTTTCCACTTGGTTCTCTCCGCTTTCTCCTTTGATGCTGGCGAGTGCTTAGTGCGATTTACTCCCAGAAACCGACCCGGTTTTATGGCTCTTTGTTTTCGCGCCAAACGATTTTGTTCAGCGCGATGCCAAATAGAAAATCATCATAATTTTCCTTTATTACCAGAGTTTTTACCCATTTGCCATAGTTGTTTCCATGCTTTTTATGGACTAACTTTGGACCGATTCCGCTGCTGTAGCTGCAGCTTTAATTGCCATTGTCATGGCTGGGCTTGCTCATTGCCGTTGTCATTGTTTGTCACAGTCTGTTCCACCCAGGAACAGAAACCACCTCCCCCCCCACCCCTGGCGGTGCTCATCAAAAAGGGGGAAAAAAATAACTTTGTCGGAAACTCCTTTGATTTGTTTTCAGCACAACAGTATAAAAGTTTTGTATGAGCGAAGGACCCGCACTCAGACTCAGACTCAGCATCAGCATCAGCCTCATCCCGAACTTGGGCGAGAGGTGAACTTTTTGAAGACAAAACATTTTTGAGTTATTAATGAAAAGTTGTTGTCTATCCGGTGTACATGCAGGGCAGGGGCAGGGGCAGGGGCAGGGGCAGGGGATTCAGTTTATATAGCGAATACAAGTGCTAACTAAATGTTATGCTTTCATTATGCTCAGAAGCAACCCCACAAAAGTTTGCCATCCGACAAAGTTCCGGCCAAGTTCCTGCTGGTTATTGGCTTAGCTGATTTTTCTCCTGTTCTATTCAATTTGGTTGTTCCTTTTTTTAAAGACACGCATTTGTTTGCCTAAAGTGCACTTTTAACTAACTTGTCTAACGCAACTAATGAAAAGATTTGTTATTAGTTTCGGTCCCGCAGAAGTGCAAGAAGTGGCAATAGCCACACCAGCTGCTGGTAACTTTGCCCAGGGAATTATACATAAACATTGGAACAAACCGGGCAAGAAGAACATACAACACACACGCGCTTCGCAAAAAAAAAAATACAAAATAAATATGCTGGCAACTTGAAAAAGTAAATAAATATTTGAACAACTTCTTATGGCCAACTATTTGTTCGGCAGATGAAAAGAACAAGTTTTTGGGCCAGACCAAAGCAAAAAGGTGAGCTCAATGCTGCGCCAGGGTGTGCATCTTTCGAAGCCATTATGTGAAAGTTTTATTTCTCCTCGGCCAGGGCCTGGCAATCGACAAGTTTTCCTCTTGGGTGGCTCTAAGTTCAGCAAGAATTGGATTGGCAAATTGTTCGGCACATAATTTTAGAGGCGATTTAACAAAATCAAATTTAAGATAAATTGTTTTTTAGCAAGAATGTGCAAAGAATGGGATAAATTTAAGTAAATATTGGTATCGTAGAAGTGTAAATTCATGACAGATGGTTAAAAATGTTATTAGTTTTAGTACGCTTTTTATTAAGCATTTTTTATTCTTGACGTTTTTTTCTAAAAACCCTGTTTTTCTAACAAATAAATACAAATTACATTTTTCCTTAGGAAGTGCTTGTGTGATGAAAGTTATCAAAAAAGTTATGTTATAAATATTTATAACCAACTATGACCTCGAGATTTTTACTTCGATTTATGTATATAAAATTAATTTAGTAACAAAAAAAAATTAAGTTTACGTTGGTTGTTTTTAGCTATTTGTCAAGAAACTTCGGTCAATATAATCCGAAAGAATATTAAAATATTGCAACACTCACCTTTTTAAAGTTTTTCCTCCATTTTAAATGTTTTTTTTTCTCCAAGTCAGACCACGCAACAGTGATTTGCATAAAACCATACATGGCATCTATTTAAATCGATTTTATGAATGAATTTTGGGTATTTGACTAAAGATCTCCTACACTTCACAGGTGGCTAATTGTTAAGCTGCCCAAATGGCTTGTTTAATATAATAATAAAAGCCATTCAAAGTCTTGTTCGAACATCTTTAAAAGCTATCCAGATATGGTCATAACTATAAGCCAACTGTGGTCATTGTTCGCCACACAATTGGCATATTAAATTACGGCTTTTGTAGCATATTTAACATAACATCCACTAAGCGAGGCTATTTTTGGCCTCGGTTATCTAAACAGATAATTAAGTCCGCTTTGAGCCGCGGCTGTCTGTCAGCTGATTGATTGACTTTATCGGCCGTTCGAGCTGGGGCCTTATCAACACTCGGCCGGAGTCAATCTTTTTGGCCCGGCCCGTCTCCGGCCTATCAAGATGCAGTCAGAAAATGCATAAAAGACGTATCTCACGGCAAACGACAATAACAAGAGCCCCAGCTCTGCGTCGCACAGCACACCGCAATGAGGTAGGAAAAAGTCTCAGATTAAAACGAGTTCTTAACGGCAATCGTGTGGGCCGAGGAGTGCCATCTTTATGGACAGGTTAAGACAACTTCCTGCGTCCCCGACCCCCCGGCCAGCCAGGAGTTACTTGATCGACAGTTCAACATGAAAACGAAACCTAAAAGGATGACACACCGCAAGACATTTCATGGTATTTTATAGAAATTACTTTTTATTTCCAGATCTTAAGGTTAGTTAACAGAGTTATCAAGGAGTTAAAGCAGTTGTTAAGTATTACATTCAGGTACCTATCCTAAGGAACAATTTGTGAACATTAAAACGAAGTACAAATTTGATTTGTAATTTTAGATACACAAGATAATATCACTTAATGCACTTAGAAAAAGTCTGCATTTGTTTTAATTTTAATTACTTTTATTATAATATTTGTTATGGCTAGAAATCAATTTGCAAATTTATGGAATACAAAGTATTGGCATTTTTTCTAAACTGCTTTAGTGCTAAAGTTGGATATAAACGTTTACATTAACAAATACATGTAATATCATTGTGTAAATAGACTTTATACATAATTAATTTCTCAAATGGTTATTGAATTTCTTTGGCGTTTTCCAACAGACGTTCAGCAATATAAAACGTATCCCAAGTGTTGTCACATCATCTTGAATTTATTATCCTCGACATCTGGCATCGTTCCAGGTGTTTTTTGACCCAGAGTATCAATCAAGCGCCGGGTAGGATGGCCACCCGCATTCTGCAGTTTATGACACTTTGTCACACCAAATTTCCAGGCGGCTGCGTAAACGTAACGACATAAAGAAACAATTTAAAAATGCATGTAGTAAACGTATAATTTGATTAATAGCGACAGCTATAACAAAAAAAAAAGGCAGAAGGAATTATTTATAAATGTTGAATGTGTTGAAATGAATTATTTATGACATTACATGCAAATCAAGGTTTGCAACAGTTCCAAATTAAAATTATTCAATTTTTTTCGTACCGTTCATTACCTGCTCATCAATTTGTAATTGGATCCCATGTTGTTTCACAGAAAAAAAAAACCCTAGACTGCAAATAAACTTTTGTTTGCTGAAATATTCATTGTTAAATGCTGCGAAAGAATTCATATTTATTGCTGAAATGATTTGTGTGAATTATTTAAGCTGAAAAAAAATTGAAAATCAATGGATTAATTATGATTTCAGCTTCCACTCCATTTCCATTTCCAATTCCATTTCCAGATCCAGTGACCAAACCAAACCAAACTACAACAATAGCGCCAACGCCTGCGAAAGAAAAGATGGAACAGCACGGAACACGAAAAAGTCTGGACAAGAGTAACCGGCATTATACCTATAGGATTAGGTGGGACTGGGGAATTGGGAGTTTGAACGTCGGTTTCAACACCGCCACTTGGGTATTTGCTGGCAAAAAGAAATAGCAAAGGAAACAAAACCAAACCTCTCTAAAAAAAGGCAAACATTCATATATATGTATGTAAGCATTGGAGCTGTGAAACACGCAGCTAGAAAAATACTCAGAAAAAGCCAAAGCTCCGGAGCTGTGAGCCGTGAGCTGAAGCCGTAACTGCAGGTGAAAATGGATTCTCAAAATTGGGTTAATTGATGCTTAGTGTTTTGCTTCAGCGGCAGGGTGAAGTGGGTGTGGGTGGTGTTATTTAGCGTCAAGTGGCTAATAGTTTTTGCCACCCCATGCCGCTTGGCAAGCGGAAGCGGAAACCGGAAATGCGCACAAGGAAATACACACAAACATTGCCACACAACGAACATACTAAGTTTATGGTAAGAATTTCATGAACTTTTGACTTTAACTAAATTAAAGTGTGGCCAAAGTATACAAAATTATGTAGATGAGTTGCCAGATAACAGATAAAAAATGTTAGGGGCACACTTATTATGATATTCGCGTCCTTAATTTTGAAAACATCAATTAATTGATTTTTGATAATTATTAAATTGATTTTTAAACTTTTTTTCTCAAAACGTTGGAACGCATAAACGACCTAACAAATATCAAAATGGCGGCGTCGTTTTTGTTGGGCCCTAAAAGGTAGAAAGGTCAGCTAAACAGCTACATAAATGCCATATATATATATAGTATATACACAAGGGTAATTAGCATTAACCCATTGTCGAATTATACACACCGGGACTGCCCTGTTCCGTGAGATTGGCAACGAGCGTGGGTGGTCCACTGCTCAGACTTCCGCCAGATGAACCGCCGGTGGAAGCAGGACCTGGGCCACCACCACCAGCTGCAGCACCACTTCCTGCGCCTGCACCAATGGCAGCCGCCGGATCGAGCGCCTGGGCAACATGGAGGAGCAGCAGCAGCAAGGATGCAAAGGTGGCTCTAAGCGTCGGACGTTGCCTCATCTTGCAATTTGGTATTTTGGCTATGTGCTTGTTGTACTCCCGCACCGGCATCAACATGTTCCATTGGTTGTTGCTTGGCTCCTTGGCTCCGATGGCGCTAATTGTGGACGACGCTCTGCAAAATAAGGGGGATTTGGGTTAATAATGAATTTGGCTTTGGCTAAATGGCAGCTGTGTAGTTTTTTGGCGGCAAAAAATATCTTTGGCAGATATACCAATGCATATCGTGGCACTTTTTGGTGAATTTTGTTTTATATACATATATACACTAGTGTTTTTCTTTGCCTAAAAGCAGTATCTAAAAGTTTTGTAGTTTTATAGAAATGCATCTCACAGATACAAAATTCATTTAGCAGCTACAAATTCAGCTCACAGATACAAATAACCATCTGCCCTCTACTAGTGGCAGTTGCAATTAATGTTCTTTGCAAGTTTATTGTTGCACATCATACACACACGCTGCCAAAGGTATGTTGTGGATACGCTTTGTATCTCAATGTTGTTCACTTGCAGCACACACACACTACGCCAACTGGTCGCAATTAAAGTTCCTGTAGTCCTGTTTAACCGACATCTGCTCGGCAGATACAAAATGTATCTCGGCCGAACAACAAATTACACATTTGGCATATAAATTGCTCAATTTCATGTATTTTGCCTGTGTCAAATTGTCATTATAGCAAACACACACAAAAACACACGCAACGCTAATGTATCTTGCAGATACAATTGCTGAAATTGCACTTTTGGCACTTAACCACGAATAGCGGCGGCACCCATCTTTAGTGTGATTTTTTATTCTTATCGAAATTCGTTTCTATGGAAGTCCAATTTAATGGCTCTTTTATGGTTTAAAATTATGGTATTATTAACGCGGTTTGCTCGTTGTATTTTTGTGAATTTCAATTTGTTAACGTTTTGTTATAGTTTTGCACTTCACTACAGTTTTAAACGTTATACTGTTGGCGCTGGTTAAACAGCAACCAACTGTTTAAAACATTATTGATTCAAAATTAACTGTTATTATTGCAATGTATTTAGTTTTAATTCGGTTATTTTTAAACACTTGATCAGATCGTAAACGAACTAATTACTTTTTATTAAGCTACATATACGTAACTTTTGATGACTTATTTAACAAGTCTTTCATTGCCTTAAATTATCGATTTATTACCGCGTTTAGGTTTATCCCAGCACCAAAAAAAAAAAATGCTCTAACACCTTGTGCTTGGCTGTATTTTCGCCGTCTTCAGTTCGTATCTTATTGTTTATATTTATGCATTGCACTTGTGCCAAGGGCTTTCAGCTTTTCACTGTTTTTTTTTTCGATTTTCTGCTGGCGTTGGCGTGTGCGTTGCTTTTGTTACATTTATAAATGGTTTAGAGCGCACATGTGCCGCACAGCACAGCACAGCACAGCACAGCACACCAAACACACAACACACACGCACAGCTGTGGCTACAATTTGTAACTGTAGCGCATTTATAAACGGGTGGCTCCTTCGTTGTCCTTGCTGATGTTTTCTGCGTTTTTTTCCTTTCTGTTTTCAGTTTTCTGCTTTTCTGGTTTTCTGTTTTCAGTTTTCAGTATTGCCGGTCCAATGTTTACACACGCTCAAGAACTTTTTGTTGGTCGTCAACAAACCATCAAGCATTTGCGTTATATTGCTTATCAGCGACTGAGATATGGTAGGGCACCACTTCGTCCTGCCTCTTGGTCTTGGTCTCCGTTCGATGCGGTCTGGGCTCGTATTTGATTTACCCTTCGGAAAAGCGGAAAACGTGCTCACATGCGGTTTGCCTGAATTTTCCAGTCGCCGTCGCCGTTGCCGTCGCCATATCCCTCAGCAGTTCGCTTGTGTTGTTTCAGTCAATTGCCGCATTTTAAAAACGCATAAAATTGCTTTATGTTTGCCTTGCCAGTCCTCTCAGTTCTCGGTTCTCAATCCTCAATCCTCAAACCACCATCCTCGTCTTCGTTTTTTCGGTCTTATCCTCTGGCGTAAATTTATGCAAGGCGCCTTTAGTTAGGGGCCACAAAACTCGCACACATGACAGACGCGTTGGCGTTTTTCCTCGAGGAAAATGCAGGCTGCCCTTGCAGCTGCAGCAGTTCAGGTATATCTTGCGTCTTCGGGGTAAGTATCTGTAAGTGGTGCATAAGTGGCAGAGAAATGTTATTGATGATTTATTTGCATTTGGCATTGATATATGCTAATGTTTTTCCCCTCGTGTCCCTTGAAATAAAAACAAAAAAAAATAACCAAAAAGGAGATAGGAAAAAAAAAGGTTGCTCACGGTTCCAGGCCATGGATTATGTTATCTTTGGCCGCGGCCTGTTGGCTTTTCAATTTTTCATGCCGCCGCAGCACAAGAAGAAATTATTATGGCATTTTTCTCCCTACTCATGGCTTTCCTTAAAGTCATTTTTATTTGCATTTCGTGATTTCGAACCGACAGATAAGCCCGTCCACGTTCGACTCACTTAGAGAGAGAGAGGAACGAAACGAATGCAAACGACACGCTGTGTGTCAACTCAAATATTTGATTTAATTCCCTGACATAATAATTAATCATTCGGCACCTTTTTACGGGACGTGCATAACCCCGGGGTCTCGTTTATTTGTTTATAATTAAATATTATTTGGCAGTCCAAATGAGACAGGCCAGCCGAGTGGCATTTATCAGTCATTCACTTTGGCTAGTTTCGTTTTTCGGTTTTCGGTTTTCTTCATTTTTTATTTTATGTTTTTTCCGTCGTTCTCCCCGTTTGTTTAATGAGTTACAAATTTGGTTTTTCAGTTGTTTAATGGCTGACAGCATTATAGATTAGTGGCCGAAAGTTTTTCTAGTCCGCTACCCCTCCCTTGGATATTTTTTTGTCCATGTCATTTGCATGGGATCTGGAATCTGGGAATCGTTCGCCCCGCGGCCCTTTTTGTCGTCCGTCTGTCGCCGTTTGTATCTTGTATCTGGCTACTTGGTGGGTCTGCAGATACAAATGTATCTGCGCGTAGTCGTCGGCTGCTCCGCTAATGTGCCGTGTGCGTTGCGATGTGTGTTTTTCTGGGCTAATAGCCGGCTGCCAATGGGAATTTGTGTTAATTGTATGCTCGTTATAAATGTCCGTTGGCATTTTAAATTATTGCAGAGCTTTTTTAAATTGGTAAAAGAGAAGCGAGCAATATCTGACATAATTTATAAACCTGGCTGGCAGTTTAGGAGAGCTCAAAAAAAAAACTATGCGAAAATTTCTTACTGCCATACTATTAAGGCAAATATTTTATGTTAAGTTCTAATCTGTAAAATTTGTAAGTAATATAAATCAATCTTGTTTAATGTTTTGGAAAACTAATCAAAACTAGTTTTTAGGCTAATTGGATTTTACCAAAGACTATATATTTTTCATATTAAAAACGATTTTAGAAATGGCAAATAAATATTAAGAACCTGTTGTTTCCCCTTTTTTGGATATTTTACTTTTACTTCAGCAAATCTTCGAAAAAGTTTTCCACTCAACCCGCTGCTACGATTAGCATATTGAGACGACTACGACGACTCCCTAAGAGATTGCCTCATTCCGCATTAAAAATTCATGCTCTTAACTGACAGGCCTTGAGATACATTTGAAATTCAAGTGCCAGGGCACACGCGCATCGCTAAAAGTGTCAAATTGGCAAAAGTGGACTTCTCGGGCTTGAAGGGGGGACAGCAGCAGCAACAGCAGCAACAGCCATTGAAAACAAAAACAGAAACATTCTAAAACAAACTTTTGATGCCCTCCGTTTGGTGTGTTTTGTGTGTGTATGTGCCTGTGTGTTTGTGTGTGTGTGGGGGTCTATAAGAAATTGATATCATTTATCAAACTGACACATACAGAAAAACCGAGTGAGGCTGGGGGGAATCTTTTCCTTGGCAGCTTTTGCAAATGAGGCAGCATTCGGCAAACGCCACATAAATAAACTTGGGATGAGAGGCCTAATTGAATTCAGCGTTGCGAGAGTAAGCGAGCAATACATAAATAATCGGACGGGATCGCGGCTCTGCCACAAAATTAGTTCATTAAAGAAGTTCAGGCAAAATTTGCATACGAAACAAAAAAAAAAAAAAAAAAATTCGGCATCCCCCTTAAAAAAACGAAACGCATAAAAAGCGAAAAATAAATGTAAATTAAAGTAAACAATGCAAAGAAGAGAGCTATTCAAATTGTTTTTTTTTTTTTTTTTTTTTTTCGGGGCCACAGCCCCGCCCACTCGACTAAAAGAAAAAGTTCCAATTGCCAAAAACTTCAAAAGTCAGCAACATGCAACATGAATATCAAAATCAGAGAGTGAGCCATAAAAAGTATATAAAAAATACTGATGGTGGGGGGCGGTACGAAAGTGGGTACTATGTGTATGCATGAAAAGAGTGTTGGGGTTTGTATTTATATTTGTATTTCGTGGAAACGAGTGCAGCAAATCAATGCCCAACAAACGGAACTATGAGAGCTGCGTGTCAGGGCCAATACAAAAAAAAAAAAATTACAAAAAAAAAAGGAGAAAGAATGTACACCCCAACGAATAATTCCGGGAAACCCTCTCAGCGATCAGGCCCAGCCCACTTGTAATAAAAAATATTTTCAATAATAAAGTGTATTAAGTTGTGAAGTGCACACACAGCCATACACACTGGAGTGAAAATAAATGAAATGTGAACCATGGAAAAGCTTCGAAAAGCAATAAGAGTGAAAAATTCTCCTTTCCGCTTCTTTTTTTTCTGTATGCTATTCACAAAACAAAGAAGTAAAAAAGTAAGAAAAAAAATATTTATAAAAAAAAAAATATAAAAAAAAAGTGAAGTGACGTTGCCGCTGTATGAGTTGCGTGTAAATATAAATATTTTTTCCATACAAATACCAAAAAAAAAGGCGTTGGAGATGGGGAGTTACATTCCATGGAGACAACTCTCTGGTTTGTTGATACTACGAATATGAAATACGAAACACGGAGTACGAACGAGTGAACGAATAAACGAACGCATGAATGTGTCAATGGCTCAAAACGATTTATACAGCATATTAAATTCTGACATCAATGTTTGATTGTCCATACATGAAAAGTAATAAAACGGAGG